GGGCCGAGCACTAGGGTGTGTGCTCAGGGACTCGAACGTGTTGTTTGCTGTCCCATCAAATCAAGATGCCCCTGACGCCTGCGTAACGGCAGCCAAAGAGCTTCCCCCAGGTGACCAGCAAGATACCAACCCTTCTCCCTCTCAGGATTGGGATGCCCTCACGAAAAAGATAACGGCCCTGACAGGCGAGAAGCGCTGTACGGAGGGGGTGAACACTCCTCAGTTTATTATTCCCAGCAGCGCAAGTCACCGGATGTTACGGGGAGTTTTTACTGCTCTTGCGACAATAAACGATAAGAAAAAGGGAAAGAAGGCAGAGTGCTTACGTGCTTGTTTAGAGGGCTTTGTGGCCACGCTCGGGCGCCTTAACGACTATGAAATGGCGCTGATCACCATTAGCTGTGCGGCAGGAAAAGCTAACCCTCCTTCTGGCGGCAGCCATGAGCCCAATGTTTCTGGGCCGCTGCCCACCATTTCAGCGGCACCGCCCACTGCTCCGGCCCCGCCACCTTATCTGGAGGGGAAGGCACCACCCTCGGTAGTGATGTCACTATACCCACCCCTCCCTGATCCAGGAGGCGGTGGGACCCAAGTCGCGCCTCCTACAGACGCCGCTCCGCCTACGCCCGGCCCCCTGCCGAACCCTCCGCTCCAAGCTCAGCCGGTTGAGATAATAAAGACCCGGCAAGACGGAGATGGGAATCTCATCACTGACCGGACCACCCACGAGCATGACCGCAGTGAAATGAATGAGCTTATCAACCTGACAGCAAGACAGGAAGATGAAACCCCAGCGCAATGGCTCGGACGATTAGTATTAGAATGTGGCCATGAGACACTTAGCCAGCGAGAAGCCATTAGCCTCGTTACACGTGGAAGCTTTAGTTTAGGGCTGCTTCCCGGTTTGACTGTCCTGGAAGCTGACAACACGCCGTGGCCTATCTCCCTCTCAGCCTTGGTTGCCAGTGCAGTACACGAGAAGCCACACCAAGTCCATGAGGGAGCTCAACCTATTCACGCCCCACATTCGCAGCCATTTGTTAATGCCCTTGCAGGAGCCGTTTATCTCTCCATACCCAAGCGGCGGATCGCAACCCCACGCACCTCTCTCACAACACCAGCACACTCGACCGACAGCACTGAGAGTTCCGATGAACTCGCTGACTCGACGACAACACCCACCCGCAGTGGAGGGCCATCCTTTCCTCAACGACTTCTTAACACTTTCACTGGAATCAGCGATGATGGCGATCCAGAAATCCCGCGCCCTTTACAGACACCAGTTGTGCATCATGACCTGTGGCCACAGAGACATTGTAAGGATCCTCTTCAACTCGAGATCCCTCCAGCGATCCTTCAAGCTACAATCGATATTTACACTGATAACCCAGAGATAGCAGAGCTCCAAACTAGCTCTCTTCACAATCAACCCCTCTCGTCACTGTACTGCTTTCAGCATTGGCGACGTCAACAACAACAGCGTGGAAAACCAGAACCAGCGTGCGTGATAGAAGTTGCCCCAGTCGCGACTTCTGCACATCGCAGGGAGCAATGCCAAGCACCGAACTCTGCGCAAGGAACCTCACATTGTTACCCTGAGCGTACACCTGAGGAGCGTGCCCGTTTTGGGTTCCTATTAAATCATGCAGGTATGAAAAAGGAGGTCCTCAGGAATTTAGATGATGACACCCAGAAACAACTCGCCATCCAACTGGGATTCCAGTTCCCATGAAAGCCAAAAAACGAGCAGGGGCGGACGCCGGCCATGAAGAGGAAGACGTCCACCAATGAACTGAATTGAGGAACCTATCTTGCTTACCCATCAACACTCGACGGCTGGATCCCCGTCCTTATGCTACCGTTCCAGTCATCCATCCCACCACAGGAGAACGAACTCCAGTGTGCTTTTTGTTGGATACCGAAGTGGAAGTCACCGTAATTGACTCTACTGTCCCGAACCGACCCACAAACCACATCATTTATGTAGCCGGCGTCAACACCACCACCGCAGCCCCGTTGGTTAAGGTGAGTCTCGGTGACCCACCCATGGTCATCAAAGCTGTCTTAGGTAACCAACGACTCCTAGGAGTACACGAGATACGTGCCTTCAACCTGAAAAGCAAGGTTTGCAGCGTTCTCCCGGTTCGCACCTCTGCGACGGGACTACCACCCGCATACATACCTCGACTCAAGAACCCTACAGCTGCCCCATGGAAGTACGTCCCCCTACAGACCAAACCCCAGCTTATTCCATCACTGATCACCCTTTTAGATCGCCTCACTGCTGAAGGAAGAATAGAGCCAGTACTTCATAGTCGCTTCGTGTCCCCAGGCTGGGGAATACCGAAACCAAAGAACCCCATCGAAGCTCGCTTGGTAGTAGATTATCGCCAAGCCAACAGATGATCAGACTTCGTCCAACTAGTACTAGTGAAGACGCTCCCAGATATCCAAGCCTGTTATCAACACAGCTGGTATAACCTACCTAGCAGACATTGCCACGTTTTCGGTTTGTTTTTGGTACCTGTTGTAAGCCACCTTGGCTCACATGGCCGGGGGGGCATGTTGTGATCATTATGTTTGTTAAGTGGCCATGTTCGCCAATCACAAAAGTTATACAAAGTTATGTAACGGTTGCTAGGCAGACTATAGTTGCCTTTCTGCCATGAGTGTAAAAGATAGACAGCAGCTAGAACTTTCTACAAGGCGGGATCCAGCGTCAGTCAGTCAGTGCCATGGGCCTATCAAAAGGTGCCTCACACAATCACATCACCGCATGTCACCCAAGCTATAAAAGGAGCCCCCGCCTCATCGTCAGGGTCCCTTCTGCGTCCAACGGACTCGGAACGACTCACGGCATATTATTACATACATGGCTCAGCCTTCAGAGTAGCTAACCGGAGGAGGACGCAGAGACCCGCCTGATCCCGGTGACCTGAAACCCCTGAGACAACTCACCAGCCAGATCCATCGGTCTCACGCACCATTAGGGCGCGCGAGGCGTGGTGAGTGAGTTTAAGCTGTTGCGCAGCTACGTTAACAGTTATCAATAAAGATCACCAAGCCTGTTCACTGTCTTCCCGACTCCTCGTGATCTGTGGTAAGACTGACCAAGAAAAGATCCTGTCACAGGTTTTCTAGAACATAATTCTTTTAAGAAACACACATGAAGTAAAACATCTGTCGGGAAAAGTTTCCTTCATGAAAGCTATTTCCAATTGCTGAAAACCTCCAATTAGAATTCTTGGGAAAGGGACAGGAGGGTGCCTGAAGGTAAAAAGAGCCCCTATCCTGTTTCCTTTGACACAAGGCCCTGCACACAAGTTTTCCCAAAACCTGAAAAAACAAAGGAAGTAAAAAACACGAAGCAAAATTTGAGCGCTAAAACCCCATTCACATATTATAGCTATAATACATTAAACTCAGGAAGTAAAATATTTTCAAATGCCAAAATAATACCAGTTAGCTTTCATTCATTTTCACTTCCGAATCTAGAGGCTCCTACAGATGTGCAGGAAGCTTGTTCTGATGTGCTGGAAATCTAGCGTGTCAGAGCAGACTTGCTTAATCAAGTCTGCTGGAGCATAGAAATTGACACACTCTAGCAGCCTTCCGAGTCACGTGCATCAGTGTCTCCACGCTGAAAAAATGACAGCATGGCGCTTTGAAATAAAACATGTTCGATGAGCTTTAGTTTAAAGCACCCCACCACCATTTCTTCATCACATGGATGCTGGTACACAAACACGTAGGCGCTTTTAATTATCACAGCTTGCTAATTAAAACGCTCTGCGCACCATGCCTCAGAGCACATGTAAAAACACATGTAAAATGCCCCAAGAGCTTTACTTAGGGGATCAGTATCACTACTCTCATTATAAAGAAAGGAAAAAAACCCCGGCACAAAGCAGTAAAATGATTTGCCAAAAGTCACCAAAAGTTAGCCCTATGGCACAGCTGGAAATAGAGGCCAGGTCCTCCAACACCCAGTACAGAGCTCTATCTACACTGCCTTGGATTCTAACGTATTTGCACATACACACAATCTTTCAGCCTTAATTCCAGTTTAATCAAATTTTATTTTTTGAGCATTTAAAAAAATGTTCTTGAAGGGATAAGGTAACAATAAAGTTTTACTGTTTCCCAACTGATTGGCTAACAGAAAACATATTGCAAATTATAGATGTTCCAACAGGGCTGGTACACTGGAGACTATTTCTCAGAAAAACAAAGAAAAGATGGTAGGAATGTTTTAAAGTGGAAGAAAGACCTCCAAGAGAATGGTTTTGATACTCACTGAGGAAACAAAAGAGGTGTCCATAAAGTGTAAACAAAATAAACAAAGAGTTCATCTGCAGTAGCAATACCCTATGAAGAAGCTTTCATAGGCATGCATTAACATAAATAAAATACAATAAGCCATGTATTTTAAAAGTGTTATTTTCCATGGGAAATAAAAACAAGAAGGTAATTTCCTAATCAAAGTTACTTGGGTTCTACAAAGAAAATCTAAGTAGCAATATCTCTTTTTAAAATTGTCCATTAATCACTTTTCTGTGTGAAAGGTCTGCGTAACAAGGAAAAGACAGAAAAACAAGATTAGAAAACTACAAGTTACCACTGGAATCAGAGACTTTGTTTTAGGCTTGCAAGGTTCTTGTAGCCTAACTGCTCCATTATTTCTTTCATACTAAAATATCTACTTACCAATTGGACCATTCCAAGGAATATCTGATAATGCAAGTGCTGCAGATGCTAAAATTGTAAGATATGAAATATATTATAAACTGTTCACACAAACATAAATAAAAAATATTTTGCAGACTTTTCTAAAGAGAGAATCCTTTTTACCTCCATTAATTGCCAGGACATCAGGGTCATTGATACCATCTACTGCTAAAATATTACAAATGATCTGGTATAAGACAGAAAGACAAAAAACATAGCTCAAAGTTCTTGCATTATTTTCTACTTAGGATATATTTGCAAGTGTTATGAAATGCAATTGCCAAATACTTGTACAAGCTCATATAAGTAAATGAAAAGTATTCAAATACATATTTCAATTAACTGGTAAAGAAAAATGGTAATATGCGGACACCAAGAACTGCAAAGCCAGAACAAGTATTGGTCCTTAAAATGTGGTTATCTTTATCTATACCAGTAGTTCTCAACTTTATCAGAGACCTGGCACCCATCTGTCTTTTTTGAATTTGCTGGTACCATAATTGAGAACCATCATTGTATTGCTTCAGCCACTAATGCACACAATGCCAGGCATATAGACATTTAAGAGTTCATCTGAAAGACTAAAGGACCAACTTCCACCTCCAATGTACCAGGGAGCTTTATTAAAAGCAAACTGTACAGTGGACTAAAAAGCAGGCTGATTAACAGTTGGGATGTTACTGGGGAGTGTGCAAAAGCATCCTTCATTCTTCCTACCCCATTCATATAGTCCCTAAGCCAGATGGATTAAAACTTTGACCAGCATCCGTGGTTAAAACACAGTTCATTAATTTGCACATCTTTCCCACCCGCTTGCTGCAGAAAGTCTGCAGGAGCTGTTTTCACTGATCTTATACTAAAAGAGTTTACTAGAGCTCAAAACAGTTTCTCTCAAATGAAGGCTGTCCTTTAAAATTATATTAATTAAGTAAGCAGGATTAATACAACAAGCAAGCAGCATGTCATTAGCAATCAGGGGCAAGCAAGGAGATCATCTCAGAGACTTGGAGGGAATGGGCCAAAAGCAAAATGTATCATCCTCACAGGTCAATGGTTTTCACCAGAAATGCTACCACCGCAGCCAAGTACAACCACACCATGTCCCTTCTGCAGAGCCAGATCAGGAAGTAGCTATAGCAGGGGTGTGCTCTTGCCACAGCCCTTCTTGGTTTGACCCTGCATGGTGTCCCCCAGGAACAGATGCCTGGGGCAGGTGGAACTGTCCCATGTACCTGTTTCTAGGAGACGGGTGCAGAGCGGGACCTTGGAAGGGCTGTGGCAACAGGAACCCATGCTGTGGTACCCCCTGGAACAATGGAACCCTTGTTGAAAACCATGGATCTACACTTTGTATTTTCTTACCTTAACAACCAAAATAATGAAATAAACATGAGGGGTAAAGTGCATGATCAACAACATTTCATGGTGAGCAGCCTTTAAATGTTCACAAAAAAAGACTAAAAGGATCTCAAATATTCAGGATTATTTTCACACCATGGGAAGTAGTGGAGCATCTCTGTCAGACATGGAAAAATCAAGAACAAGCTTGCAACAAAAAACCTATTGGAATCCTGAATTAAGTTTGCTGAATATCCTATTCTACTGGATGTGCAATATAAGAATTATTGCTACACAATTTCAATTAAACTGTTACCGAGTAAAAATGACTTGCTCCCTAAATATAAATTGCATTATTTCCTTACGATAGCTAGTCTGAATTTAAACCAGTTCAAGAGAGTAACTGTTTCTAATAACATAGGACACTTGGCACATGTTAAAACAAAGCAATTTACTGAATGATTAAAGGATGCTGCTGTTAATTTTTCTATCACATCAGCAATAAATACTACTTTGCAAAATGTGGATCCATCGTGAATGCTACTCCAAAATCATTTCCTAGGGCTTCCATGGAAACAATCTCCAAATTAAATCCACAAATGTGATTATCATTAAATATAATGAGCACAACCTACCTGTGTATCATAGTAGTAGCCTTCTGGGAAGAGTGGCCTAATTGACCGATCTGTAAAAGAAACATTTCAAAACTTACATACAGAGAAGACTAAGATGATGACTGTCAACAATAGATGAAAGATAAGTACATGTACAATAAAGAATTGGTAAAGAAATTCAGCAAAGCATATCATATTTCATGATTAAAAACAAAGAATTAATCCAAAGTGAAACCCGTATTTTCAAAACGTAACCAAAAAAAAAAAATAATCACAGAGCCTAATTAACATGCAAAAAAACTCTTTGCCACAAGAGAGTCTAAAACTTGAGCAGGATGCAAAAAAGACTGGGCATGTTCATAGATGCAGATATCTGCTGTCCATAAGATACTGGCAGCCACACAACTGCAAACATTTCTCCAACAACAGATTATTTAAATCCAATTCTCACCAAACCACCAGGTCTTGCAAGAGATCCAGATGCCAGCTCTGGCTCCTTGTCAACAAGGGTCATAGGAAGGTAGGGGCCAGAGGAGGACACTTAGTCCTGCCCTCTGCTGATGGCAGAAGCATCTCCGGCTAAACCATCCAGCCAAGTATGTCTAACTTGCTCCAGAGAACTTCCAAGGATGGAAATTAACAATTTCTCTAGGTAACCTGTTCCAATGTTTGACCACCCTCATACCCAGAAAGTTTCTCCTAATTTGCAACCTAAATTACCCCTGCAGCAGGCATGAGGCTATTGCTCCTAATTCTGTCCCCTATGGTCAAAGAGAAGAGCCCACCTCTATCCTGTAACTGCCCTTCAGGTATTTGAAGACTATTATCAAATTGAACCCTGCCCTCCTTCCCAGACTAAATCAACCTAGTTTTTTCAACCTTTCCTCATAAGTCTTGCCTCCCAGGCTTCTAATAATTTTTGATACTTTGCACTGGACTCTTTCCAAGCTGTCCACAACCTTCAAGTGTGCGGCCCCAAAATGGACACAGTACACCAGGTGAGGTCTCACTACTGCTGAACAGAGTGAAAGAATCACTTCCCTTGATTTGCAAGTTAGCCAACAGCATACTGGATTGTATTTTTTCAGCAATATATTCATTTTATTGTCTACTGTAACCCCCCTGCAGTTCTGCAACCTAACCACTCATTCCCCAGTCTGCATTTGTGCATGAACTTATTCCATCCCAAGTAGAGGACCTTGTATTTTTCATTGCTCAATCTGATCCAACTGATTCTGGATCATTTCTCAAGTCAATCCAGGTCATTCAAGATCCTAGCGCTACCTTCCAGAGCAGGGGCAGGCAGGCAATTATTTTGGCCGGAGGGCCACATACCCAGTTTTGGCAAGCTGTCAAGGACTTCATGGGTAGCCCCGCCCCTTGACAGGTGCCCCGCCCCCCGGTCACCATCTTGGGACCAATGTCCCAATGTCTTGGGACCAATGTCCGAGGGCCAGCACTGGTGGGGCCCAGAGAAGGGTGCAGGCTGGCAGGGGTCTGTGGAGCCAGGCTGGGCTGCACCAGCAGGGAGAGGGGGGAGCTGGCCTGGCTCCATAGAGCCCCAGCCACCCAGGACCCTGTACCCCTGCTGCCCTGTACTGGGCCCTGCTGGCACTGGCCTTGGGACACCGGTTCAGGCCCGGTGCTCCTGCGCCCACTCACTCCTAGTGCCCCCAAGCCGCGCGGTACAGGCGGGGGGCAGCACTCAGCCCTGACCCCCTGCTCGCTGGCAGGGAAGAAGCTGGTGCAAAGCGTGGGGAAAAGTGGCCCCTCGCCTGCCCTGTGGCTGGTGCTCCCTGCTGCAGCCACTCGCAGCCCGTGCGGCACTGTCCTGAGTTGGCACAGACAGCCCCACATGGGCTGTGAGCAGTTGTGGTGCACGGCGTCAGGCACAGGGTGGGGGCTGCTTTTCTCCCACACAAGGCACCAGTTTGCAACCTGCCCCCGCCACCAGCCTGGGCCCTGCACCAGCTCTGGGCTTGCCCACTGGGGCTGTGCTGCGGCAGCAGCAGCTGCAGCCCTCCCGCTTGCCATGCTGAGCAGTGCTTGCTGCTGCTGTCCACCCAGAGCTTGCGCCATGGTAAGCTGCAGTGCCCCCCCGCCTCACCTGAGCTTCCTGTGCCTGGGCAGCCATGTGGCTGGGGGGGCGGGCTGGGCAGGCCCTGCTGCTGTAGGAGCCCACCGAGGATTCCCCTGGGTCCTACTGCCTCTAGTTCCTGTCATTTTTTACAGGAACCAAGGACAGATAAATTTTAATTTTCAAAAATTTTTTTAGCGGCCCTGCGGGCCAGATACAATGGCCTCATGGGCCAGATCTGGCCCATGGGGCATATTTTGCCCAACCTTGCTCCAGAGTGTCTGCAACTCCATCTTCTGCATTTTGTAAGGGACCTATGGTTTCTTTGGTCTTCCTGTTATTTTCACAAACTTGTAAAATCCCTTTTTATTTCTTGTTACGTCCCTCGCTAGCTGCATCTCACACTGTGCCTTGGTCTCCCTAATTCTCCCTGCATAACCACATGATGGTCTCATACTCTTCCCTAGTACTATGACCAAGTTTCCACTTCGTATAGGATTTCTCTGAGTTTCAATTCATTGAAGAAGTTGCTGTCCAGCCAGGATGGTTTCCTGTTCCACTTCCTATTTTTGCATTGCATTGGGATAGCTTGCTCCTGTGCCCTTAAAAGGGTGTCCTTAAAGTACAGCCAGCCTTCTTGGATCCTTTTTCCCCACATCAGATTTGAATCCCAGAGGATTCTGCCCATCAGTTCCCTAACCACACAAAATATAACATCTAAGATTCATTCACCTGCTCTTCTACCAACATCATATACAGCACCACCTGTTTACAGTGCCCTTCAGCTGTCTGCATTGGCTAGACCAGGGGTGGGCAAAATGTGGCCCGCGGGCCGGATGCAGCTCGCCAGGTCTTTCTTTCTGGCCCGCAGGGCACCTAAAAAATTTAGAAAATTAATATTTATCTGTCCCTGGTTGCCTGTCATGTGGCCCTCGATGGCTTGCCAAAACTCTGTAAGCAGCCCTCCACCCAAAATAATTGCCCACCCTGGGCTAGACACAGCTAACCCTAAACAAAAAAATAAATAGACATCCATTTGACATCAAACCCAGAGGCACACAAAAGCTTATGGCAGAACACTTCAATGTCCCTAGACCATTCCATCACTGAACTCTATTAACTTCCTGAGCAGCTGTCCTTAAACAAAAAACAACAACTTGTGGACTGTGTTAAATATGGTCTCAACCAAAATCACATGTTCTTAGCCTATTACCTGGACTATCTTTTAACCCTATCTGTTTATTCTCATGTCCCCCCATAAGTTAATTGCTTTGCTCATCCTTATTGACCTTTTCCTCTCTATTTAAAACCCTTTCTTTCTCAAGTCTCTTCATAGCATCAGCTGAAATGTCTATGAAAGCCCATGCCTCAGTGAACCACTCAGTCTTGAAGGTGCCACCCTTTAGATTATATAGTAAGTTCTGCTAGTTTTAACTAGTGTATTTACTTGAATATAAAATGAAATGTCTCTTGTCTTACATTTACATACAAAGAAACTGAATTAAATACACTATCTTTGAACTGCTGTGCTCAATAACAAAAACCAACTATGAAACTGATTAAATAAATCCAACACCGAGCAAGACTTTGAAGAGGTAACACAGGCCATCCAAATAAAACATATATACTAGTGCCCATTGAGTTCAGTCTCCTTCAGCAATGGCTCTTTTTCCGTTCATGGGGAGCCGTAAAACTGCATACATTTTGATTTCCTCTTCACTTCCACAGGGGAGCTGTTTCTTTCTTTCCCATTTCCAGGGATTCCTGTTTCTTCATCAGACTTAAATGTCTGGCAAACATCACCAAACAGGGCCTCAAACAGTTCACCCAGAATCCCTTTGTCACCCCCTCTCTCAACCTACTGCATATGATTAATGTGGCCCTGCCCTTCATGAGATGAAGCTGGACCAGACTGCCCTGCATCTCATCTGAATATAAGTGTTTAGAGGATCCCAGGACTTGTGAAAAGAACACCTGGTTCCAGTCATGAGTGGGAGTTAATTAGCACATGGATCCTTTGTAGCATGGGCAAGGTATCTAGAGTACACATACATACTGAGCAATGCTAAGCTGTGGGGTCACTGTATTTTGAAATGATGTTGACTCTGCTGGGGCTCACCCCAGTGACCTATGTGGTAAAATATATGCTTTTTGGCTTTGTACTACTATAATGCATTGTGTGTATTTTCTCTAAGTAAATGCTGTTAAAACGTTGCTTAAATATGTGTTTATGGAGTACCTTTCCTGCAACAGTTTCAAAAAATGTAAAATGCATCAATTCTAGGTTAACTAAATCTATGGCTACTATATGTAAATTGCTATAGCTATGGTTATTTCAAGGTTAGTTTTTTCAAATTTGTTCTTCACATCCATGTGCTTAGGGAGAGCAGGGTCAGAGATAAGAGATGAAACGGGGTTACCCGACACCCCAGATTTCTTTCCCCTGCTGTAGGAGTTGGAGGTTGACAAATTCAGGACAAACCTCCTAACAATTAGATTTTATACCTGGAAAACTATAACAAAATTTACACATTTTCTATACATAGAATCTAATTATTGGGGGATCATCTTATAATCAGAGCCATCTTATAGTTGAGCAAATACAGTAAACTGAACATGAAGCTCTTCTCACCTCATTTTAGCAACAAGTTTTAACTTTCCTGGAGATGACTTTTCAGGGAACAAGGAAGGTTGGGAGGAAGATGAAGCCAATAAGACTGCCTCTGTCTACCAAAGTTTGCAGTTTAAGTTCCACTTCCTCCTCCTCCCTTATGGAAGCAGCAGGAGCTTCAAAAAATAACAGTCCCCTTGGTCAGAGGTATCAGAAGTCCTAGTCTCAAGAGTGAATATGTCTAACAAGCTATTTTGGAATTTCACATAAAGAAATATGCAAGCAGCCCCAGCTGATCTGTTTTTAAAACGGATTTGAGCCTTGCAGCACTTTAAGAAATGTGCTTTTCCTAATATTGCTGCAGAAGCAATAAACTCTGAAAATTATGATCACAGATAACCCTCCTTTTTCCAACATTGAGGAAGATAACACAAATGATGAAAACAAAGTACTAGAAGAAGTTTTTACAATGTTTTCCCATACCTATCACTCTGCTTGTAAGAATTTCTTTATCAGTAGTACCAAGCTCTCTCCTAAGGTAGTTTGTGGGAATCCTTCCTGCTGCAGCAGCTTTTTGACGATAATCAACCTTATAAAATTACAGAGATTAATAAAGAATATTATCTGCTCTTTCCTAATTAAATCAACAAAATCAGTTAAGAGTTAGTTTTACAATAACACACCTGAATAAAATTGTTTGTTATTTACTGTTGCCACAGTGAAAAATTAATCTTGCATAAATTTTACAATATTTACATTAAATAACATCTACTTCTCAAGTTCTACTTTGTGTGGGTATTTATAGCATCAGTTTGGACAGCCTGAGTAATTTGTACTCACCACCAGGGGCATGAACTGGGATACAGAAGATTTTGTTTTACTGACTGCTGTAACCATCACTGATGTGTCACCTAACTTGATTAAAAAAAAAAAAAAAGGTGAAATTACTTATAGCCATGACATTTTAATAAATATATCATTTAGTACAATTTCATTTCTCCAATACAGAATTCCCCCCAGCGAAGTACCAAATGAATTAACTATTTGTAATAGTTATACTTTGAGAAATCCTTAAAAAGTATCTCTCTCTGAAATAGGTAGTTATGAAGCCTAGCCATTACAAATTCCAATTCTCATCCCATGTCATAGGCTCTGATAGTCCAGTAAAAGACTGTACATTTATCCATGCTGATTTATCAATGTTGAAGTTCCAGAGATTTTTACCTGCACTACAGCACATCCATCAGCAAATCTTGCTAGTTTTCCAGAGGAAATTTCCAGTTTTCTGTTAAGAAGAGAATGTTTTGTATTAGGGACACAGGAACAAAAGATCTTGCCCATCTAGCTCATTATCTTTCCTTGCATGGTGGTAGACTGCAAATGCTGGGGGAGGAGAAGGTAAAGGTGAGGGGGAGCAACCAGGGCACGTCCAGAATTTTCTATTTCCTTGTTCTCTTCATCTGGAACTTTCAGAATTCAAAGTTTCGATTGAGAGGCAATATCCCTACTTACGTGCCTATACACTGAATGCAATACTGACTGATGGACCTTTCCTCCACAAACTTCTCCAATTTCCTTTTGAACAAGGTTAAAATACTACGTCTCCACAATAACTTGTGTCAATGAGTTCCATAAGTTAATTACATATTGTTGAGCCCCTGTCAAGCAAGAATCAATTTAATAAAGAACTCTCTAATCATTTATTTTTGTATCTTTGTTTTACGTTAAAAAAATACCAATTACATTTAGTATTCACTGGAGGAACTACCTTGCCACGTCAGGAAACCAAAGCACTCTTTCTGCCAATAGAATAGGCAACACATATACCTCCTGTAATGCAGTTCTACCTCAATCCCTGAAATGGCTGCGTTCAGGATGGAAAAGAACATTTAGGCCATGTACAGACATTCAGTTTCCATGGGAGAGTCACTTCTCTCCCAGCAGAAACCAAAAATATACAGCTACACAGGCTTTTTGCTCCCAGAGCAAAAAACGGTTGCTCCAGGAGAAAACCCAGGATCAGCCAGGCTTAAACTGCTCTTGGGAGAGTTTCTGTACACTTACGAAGAGCTTGGGCAGATGTTCAGATTCTCTAGGGAGAATCCCTGCTCGCTCAGGAGAAACCAGGAATATACAGAAGTCCATAATTATTCTCCTGGAGTAAAAGTGGCCACCAGGGGAGAAAAATAACTCAGTAACAACCCAAGTGAAGTAGCTTCACAGAGAATCTCTCTCAGGAGACGGAACATTCTGTACAGGCAGACAGTGCGCTTTTCTCCTTCTCCCTCCCCCTCCTGCAGAGGGGGGTTGGTAAGTTTTGCCACAGGGCCCCCCCATTGGTGAGACTGGCCTCCAGTTGCTGCCCAGTTCAGGGGCCGGGGGGGGGACAGGATAGACACTAAGGCAGCACCAGTTGCCCATGACTCCAGGGCAGGATTCTCTCAGATTTCCACTACCCAGCTTCCATTCCATCAAGGTGTGTAGCCACTGTCTACAGCTGAAGTCCCAGTATCCCAGGTGATCTGTCACTCCCCAGCCCCTACATCAGGGACAGAAGCTTGTCCTGGCTCACCAGCCCTCTAGTGGCAAGTTACAGCTGGGTGAATGTGGGACTGCAAGGGAAGGTTTCTAGTGGAGTGGTTCTCTACCTTTTTTGTACTAGGACCCATTTTTAAACATTGGTGGGCAGTCCTGATCCAGTGCCCCTCACTCCTGACCCACTGCCTCTCACCCCCAGGCCCCACAATGTGTAAGGCAGGGGGTGGGTGTGTTGGAAAATGGTTGGAAAAACTGCTCTTTGCAAGCTTTCAGATGCAAAACACCCTTTTTCAGGCATAAAGAGTCTATTTTACATAGGGTGTTTGTGCCCAAAAGCTTGCAAAGAAAAAATTTTCCAACTATTTAGTTGGTCTAATAAAAGATACCCCATCTACCCAAAGAACTTTGTCGGCCCGGGTCCTTACACCAACGCGGCTATACAACACCCACCCCAAACCCGAAACAGGTTGAGAAATGCTGCTGTACAGGTCCAGATGCCAAGCCAGCACTAATGCCACCAGCCCCTGCGTGCGTATCTATACAGAGATGTAGATATACTGTGTACACCTCCAAATTGTTCTAATAAAAGATATCAACTCAAACCAAAAAACATATATACATATATTTTTCAACTATTTTTTCCTCATTTTGCTCAACATTTTTCCAACTGTTTAAGTTTGTCTAATAAAATATATCAGATTCGCCCAAATTACTTTGTCTGCCTATGTCCTTAGACCAACACACGCACACACACACGCGCCATCACCGGCCCCAACCGCTGCCTCCACGTGGAGGGGGGAAGGGCCCCCGGACCCCCACCCTACCTGCCCTGCAAGTCCACGGCCACCGCCTGGTCACCGCCAAAGCCCCGGGCCTGGAGGAGCGGCGCCATGCGGGAGCCCGGGCCTAGCCAGCGCCGCACAGCGCCGAGAAACGGGTGGCGCCAGCTGTACCGAGCCCGCAGCCCGGCACAGCGGCAACCCGTGCAAGCGGCCATGACACCCAGACAGCTGCTTCCAGCAAAGCGCCGCCTGATTGGCCCCGGCGATCTCCCGGGAAAGTGACGTTTGCCTCTAAGCCGACCCCATTGGCTCCTGGGGAGCGGGGCGAGGCTGAGTTTCGATTCAGCCCGTGAGCGTATGGCCGTCCGCCGGCTGCTGCCTTGGGCTTTGCTACGGCGGCCGGCGAGGGACAAACCCCTTAGGGCGGGGCCTTTGCTTCTGGAAGTTTCCCCTGCCCGTTGGCTTCCTGGGCGCAGCCTCTGCCTCACCCCCCCAACGACCCTGTCAGCGACCTCCCCTCCGCCGACCTTGGGACCCGCCAACTTTTTTTTTATTTTGTATTTGATTTATATATCTTTTATTAAAAATATCCTCGTAACAGCATTAAAAACAAGATGATCGCTATAGATAAGCTCCCATTACTCAACACCCGCTCCACAGGTTCCGCCCCCAACCTGGACCACGCCCACAAAGGAACCAGAGGTGACAGTGCCCCGCCCCCTTTGGCCTCGCCCCTTCCCCCTCCACCCAAGATATCCCAAGACTTATAGGGTCGATCCCCGCTTTGGCTGCCCTCAGGGGCCTCTCTCCAAGGTCCCAGCACCCCTTTGCTTCAGTGCACCTGCCCCTCTGCCTGGTGTCCAGCCCCAGGATCTGGTGGTCTTTCTTCCTGGCTCTGGCCAAGCTGGCCAGCTGTCACAGTGGGAGGGGAGGAGGCTCGAGTTGTGATCTGGGGCTGGTTTCCTGTCTGGTCCACCCACATCTTGGGGCAGACTTTCACTGGGCAGCGCCCACTTGCTCCTTGGACCCGTGAGAGAGCCTGTGGGCACTGCCCAGTGTGCTGTGCTCAGGGTCCTGTCCGCCCTTGGAGTGCCTATTATGAGCCTGCGACTCCCACTCCCATTCCTGTTTTCCCCTCTGTTGTCCCCAGTACTCCTCTGTATCTAGTGGCCTCGGTGACTAAAGGAGCATTAACAGGGTTACCCTATTTCCAGTTCCAAAAAGGAGGACAATTTAACCAATTCTTCACCTCTGTTTTCTTGTGCAGGGACCAGGACTTCCCCACTGTGATGCAAGATGGACTCGAGGGGAACGCCTCCAGACCTCAGGCTGGGGAGGACCCGGTTAGAGAGCTTCTGGAGGGGCTGGATGTGTTCAAATCAGCAGGTCCAGATGCTCTCCACCCCAGGGTGATGAGGGAGCTAACAGGGGTTATTGCAGGGCCCTTGGCATGGCTTTACGAGCGCTCGTGGTGCTCGGGCCAGGTGCCAGATGATTGGAAGATAGCCAACGTGGTCCCCATCTTTAAAAAAGGGAGGAGGGAGGACCTGGGCCCATCAGTCTTACATCAATCCTAGGGAAACTCTTTGAGAAGATCATCATGGAGCACATCTGCGATGTACCAGCCTCAGGGATGATGCTCAAGAGCAGCCGGCACGGTTTCATTAGGGGCAGGTCATGTCAGACCAACCTGATTGCCTTTTATGAGCAGGTCACAAAAGCATTGGATGCAGGTGTCGCCCCCTGCCCTTGTGTTCCTGCTACAGCCCTCATGCCTAGACACCATTCCCCAGTGCGGCAGGTACCAGCTCCCCTCATGCACCTATCCCCTCCACCCCCTGCCACAGGACAGTCCCCAAACCCTGGCCCTCCAACCCGTGCTCCTCACAGACTTACCTGCGTCAAGCTGCTGAGGCTGCTCCCACCACCCTGCCTGGCTGCACACTGGCCACGTCTGCATGTGCGAGCACTCACACATGATGTTCCCTGCTCCAATTGCCCTCCCCTGCTCCCGCCAGTGAAGCAGTGCAAAATCCTGGACATTTCTTCAGATTTCAAAAAACCGCCTGGACAGAGATCAGAGGACCCCAAAAGAGGACATGTCCAGGAAAACCTGGATGTATGGTAACCCTAGGTTTATAGTTCTCTTAGTGGATCGAGGCAATCGATTTACGTAATAAACAGGCCAGCCCAAAGGCTGCACAGGTCCAGAAATTTGGCAGTGGGGAAGTGCTGGCCATGTTGGGTGTTTTTACACATGCTCCAGGAGGTGTGGGGAGGGTGCTTTAATTAGCGAGCTGTGCTAATTAAATGCACCCAAGTGTTACATGTATCATTGTCCCACACACTGAAAAATGGTGGCAGGGCACTTTGAACTAAAGCTCATTGAGTGAGCTTTACTTCAAAGTGCTCCACTGTCATTTTTCAGCATGGGGACGCTGATACACGTGATGCTAGAGTCTGCTGGAGTACATTCATTTTCCACACTCCAGCAAGCTTGATTAATAGAGTCTGCTCCAACATGCTGGAATTACAGTGTGTTGGAGCTGGCTCCCTGCACGTGTATAGGAGCCTGTTAATTGCCACTCCCCTGCTGCCAAAGTGCCAGACCCAGAGGGAGCCCTGTGGGCCAGGTGACATACAGTTAGCCTATCTATAAGGAGCAGTTAGTCTCTCTGTAAAGTGCATCTCTACTGATTTCTGTCTGGCGTCAAGCTAACTACCTCCCCAATAATTCCAGTCTCCCAATTCAAGTCGCACTAGCCTTTAGCTCTTGAACTGCATGCTGGTCATTTCATAACCTAATTCCCTTCTGCTCTCTGAAGTGCTTTATTCCATCCACTAATGTGTGAGTTTTACTCTAAGGCATTGGCGTGTAGTGCACCCCCTGAAATCAGCCATGTACCCCCTGGAAGTGCCAGCCAGCAAACTGGAAGGTACTGGAGGACCCCCCTCAGTAGGTGGTTGGTGGCTGCGGCTCCCCAGGTTTGGGAGGTACCAGTTGCCCGTTTCAGTGGTGGGGTGAATTCAGTCGATATATCAGATTTAGAGCAGCCAGAGCAGTGATTCTCAGGGTGGTTGCTGTAGCTTTGGCTCTGGGTCTGAGTCGGAGATGCAACCATCTGTGCCACCACCTCCTCCCTGCTGCCTGTGCCCATCTTGTGCTGCCTCCCCCTACCACCTCCCTCTACTGCCACTGAGTTGTGGCTCCAGTCTTCCTCTGTCACAGCAGCAGTGGTGGCAGCAGCACTGAGGCTGAGACCAGGGCTGCTGCTGCTGTAACAACAACTGTTGCTTCCTGATCTGGTGCAGTCAGAGTGGGGCCTGAGCTCCAGCTGAGTGTAAGCTGTGGTGGGAGGAGGGCAGGCAGCAGGGTTGACCAAATGTGGGAGACAGGTGGCAGAAGGACAAGTGGCACGGGAAGAGGCAGCAGGGGGCACAGGCATCATGGGGGACAAGTGGCAGGGGCCAAGATCCAAGGAGGCAAGGGATAGAGAACAGGACACCTGTCTTCCTGCTGCTGCTTTCCCTGTTGCAGCGGTGGAGAGGATGAATTAGGACAATACTTAGATTCCATACATGGAAAATTATAACAATTACACATTTTCCATGCATGGAATCCAGTAATTGGGGGTTGTCTTAAATTCAAAGATGTCTTGGATTCAGGAAAATGGGGTATTTCTCAGTGTGACCACAAATGAACAGTGATGTGAGTGCAAAGGCATGATCATGCCAGCACTGGGATTCATGCATGTTTCAGTTAATACAAACTATTGTGAATTATCCTAACTCCATTTGTCATTTGGAGTTGAAATGAATTAAAACCTGGAAGAGGTTTTATAATTAATTTAATACAGATTGTGCTGAGATTTGTTGTTATTCAATTTTTCTATTACTTGTTTACAAATTCTTTTCTGTATTTTCTTGACAGGGTATTTCTGGTTTTGACCCGTGTTTACGAAAGTCAGATTTATTGGCTGGGAAAACTGGCCCATCTAATGGTTTTTCATCAGTGCCAGCATGCTTTTTATCCTTTGGCAAGTTATGAAGGAGGCAGATCAGAAGGCAAGTGACCCATAAACTTGAGACTTGGCACAGGCAAATGATTGTTACCTCTGTCAAAATTCAGAATCCGTCGATAGAGTTCTGGTCCAGGACAAAAATATATTTAGGTAATGAAGCATAAACTGTACCATGTTTTTTCTGCATTCATGCATCCTCTATTGCTGTTGAAGACCTGTTCTCTGAAATAAGTGAATTTAAAAAAAAATCCTCGTTATTTTCCCCTCATTAAAATCACTATCCTTGAGGTCACTGCAGGCAACTTTCATATAAAGAGAGTGTCCAAATACCTGTATTATAACAATATTTTAAAACAATTACATTAAAATAAAGGGCCAGGTCACCTCCCAGACTTACCTGAATCCAAGATGACTCTGAATTTAAGACAACCCCTCCAATAATTAGATTCCATACATGAGAAATCTATAAATTTGTTATAATTTTCTGTGTACAGAATCTAATTTTTAGAGGGTCATCTTAAATTCATCCCCCCACCACTGCATCAGACAAGCAGTGGCAGAGGAGTAGGAGGCAAGGGGGTGCGTTACTCAGGCAGGAAGGGGGG